AGGTCAAACGGTTCTGTGGTGGTGCGATCAGCTGGAGCAGGCCCCCGGGTCTCACAGGCGGAGTCTTGTGGCGCTGGCACTCACGGCAGCCTTTCACATATCGATGTACACGAGTTGATAGTCGCGGCCAGTAGTACTGTTGGTGTACTCTGGCGAGAGTTCGCGAATAGCCCAAATGCCCTGACGTGGGCTCGTCGTGGCACGCAAGGAGGATCTCATCACGCATGTCGGTAGGAACAACGAGTAGGAAGGCTTTGTCGCTACCACGGGCGTTTTTCTTGTAAAGAATGCCTCTTCTTAGACAAAAAAAGGACAGTTCGCGAGCAATGTGTTGAGGGACCTGAGAGTTGCGGCCTTCCAGGGAATCAATGACTGGGCGTAATTCGTCGTCTGCCCGCTGCTTTGACATAAATTCGGAGTCGCTAACTGCTCCGAGAAAGGCATCTTCATCTTCGGAGCCCCTGACAGCGTTCCCCACAGGTGCTCGAGAAAGCGCGTCGGTGTCTTGGTGTTTGCGCCCTGACCTGTACACAATCGTGATATCGAACTCCTGCAAACGCAAACTCCACCGTGCGAGACGGCCGGATGGATCTCTGAGATTTGCCAGCCAGCAGAGCGAGTGGTGGTCAGTCACCACTTTGAAGGGACGACCGTAGAGGTAAGGTCGTCGCCCACACGACTGCGAGGCATTCTTTTTCTGACGTAGAATAGTTGGTCTCGGCTCGAGAAAGAGTACGACTGGCGTAAGCTATCACATGCTCAACGCCGCCGTGTCCTTGTACAAGGACAGCGCCAAGTCCGACGTTGCTGGCATCTGTATAAATCTCTGTAGCAGCGTCCTCATCAAAATGGGCAAGAACAGGGGCTGTTTGCATTCTCTGTCGTAACCCTGTGAACGCTGTATCTTGTTCTGCGCCCCAAGTAAAGGGCACGTCATCTCGGGTGAGCCGCGTAAGAGGTTCAGCTATCTTCGAGAAGTTGGCGATAAATCGGCGATAATATGCGCACAAGCCGAGGAAACGGCGTACTGCTCTTTTATCTGATGGAACAGGGAAGGCGGCGACAGCAGCAGTTTTGTCTGGATCAGGTCGCACTCCATCCGCACTAATGACATGTCCCAGAAATTTCAGCTCTTCATAGCCGAAATGGCATTTTTGACGTTTCAGCGTGAGTTCAGCTGTGCGAATGGCTTCCAGAACCTTTCTCAGACGCTTCAGACGTTCTTCGAAGCTCTCGGAAAAGATGACCACATCATCGAGGTAGACAAGGCAGCTTTGCCACTTCAAGCCAGCAAGAACTGTGTCCATCATCCTCTGAAAAGTGGCTGGTGCAGAACAGAGGCCGAAGGAAAGAACTCGGAATTCGTAAAGTCCGTCGGGAGTCACAAACGTGGTTTTTTCTCGGTCTCGTTCATCCACTTCAATTTGCCAATAGCCACTCTTTAGATCGATGGACGAAAAATACTTCGCGCGTCGTAACCTGTCGAGGGAGTCGTCGACCCGTGAAAGTGGGTAGACGTCCTCTTTTGTGACGCTATTAAGCTTCCTGTAGTCAATACAGAATCGCAGCGTTCAGTCTTTTTTCTTTACTAGAACGACTAGCGAGGACCAAGCGCTGCTGGATGGTTGAATAATCTCGTCATCGAGCATCTCTTTTACTTGTGTCTGAATAGCCTCGCGTTCTTTGGCAGAAACGCGATAAGGCTGCTGCCGGATGGGGCGGCAGCCCCATCCGGCAGCAGCCTTATCGCACCCGTTTCTGCCTGCGTGACTCGATAGACTGGTAAACACGACTCTTGAATATCCGAGTAGCTGTTTTTCGTGCAGTTTAAGTGCAAAATGTGAAGTGACTCTTATCCGAGGCGCGCCAATCGATGCAAATGTTGCTAACTTTTTGTGCTAGCATGGTAGTTTCCAATATTTTTCAAGGCAGTTTCCATATTTTTTTTTGCTTATTTCTATGGCCACCTCCATCCTAGTGATGTTTCTTCAGTAATCCAAAAGTGTCCTTCCTTGTCAAAGAGCAAGCGATGGCGCTCAAAAACATGGAAATGCTCCCATGGCGGCAGTGAGTAAGAACTCTCAGGAAGGTAATTATTATGACGATGATTTGCTGCTGTACGCTTTGTAACAAGGGGGTGTACTAGCGCCATGGGTGAGTGACAGTTTATATCTGCCCAGGAAGAGCAAGAAAAAAAACGTTGGCAATTTAATTGAAAATACAAGAGCGCTAAGCAAAAAAATAAATGCAAATAATAAATGTTAGGGTCGCAGCAGGAATCGAACCCAAATATTCTGCATAGAAATCAAGTATTATACCACAAAACCACGCCAGGTTTCAAGACTGTTTTGGAAAAAGACCTTATGCAGGCATCATGTTGGTGAAATGTCGATTGTAGTTGCAGAGCTGGCTTATGATAACAGACATCATGTTGGGTTAACATCAATTTAAGTAAAGCGCCATCCATTGAAGCTGGTCTATGCAGGGGTGCCACAGCCGTAGAACATGGAGCAATTTTAGGAGAAGAAAAATCTTACATTTGGAGTACTAAAATGCTAATTTGGAGCATGTTACAGAAAAAAACACATTTTTCATCACGAAAGACCAAATTTGGAAAAAAAACAAGGCTTATATTTAGAAAAAAAATAGTATGTGCAAACCATTCAACATCACCTAAATCGTACAGAGTGAACACGAGTACCGCTATTCCAATAAAAGTAGTATTTTGAATCACCCCACTGAGCAAACAATCATAAAGCCCACATTAGCATTTGCTGTGTCTGTGACATACAAACTATGAATTCAAACGCAGATCTGCCAAGCTGGCAACCTTGAAATTACAGGGATTCGTGAAACTGAGGAGCAGGGGAGAGGGGGGTAAAAAAAAATCTGGAGCACAGTTTTTTTAGGGTGGCAAAAATGTCATACAGTTCTCTAAATGATTGTTAATAACTATTTCTGACGTCGGCGATCGTAATAGTACTCACAATAATGTGGCATATACACACATGAGTAATTAAATAAAATGTGCTGTGTCCTGTAAAAAGTACCGCGTCAGCTGGTTTTTCAGCGCTTTTTGATCCAGCGTCCCCAATAGCGCGTACAGCCCCTTCCAACTCACGATACGCCTTTCCACAGGGCACTGGTGTACTGCGGCAAAGGTGGCTTAAGCAGCGTTCTGCACAGGTTAGAACTAAAGCCCCCCACATGCGTTTTCCGCCAATAGGTGGAAAACGATTCCCTCTTTTTGCAATGGAGTTAGGGTTAGACACGATTTCTCGGCTTGCTTGCAAGGCGCGTTCTACAGATATGATAACAACGGCGCACACCGGTTGGTCCAGCGACAGCACCAGATATCTATCGCCGGGAGGATGGCACTAACACAACTCCAAGAGAGAAATTTGTTTTATGTACCGTTATTATGGCGACCAACGTGGTCGCCGGTAACGCTGGCGTTCTCAAAAGGTCGACTCTGTTCGCGCGCCGAAAACACGATGTGCGCTTCCAGCTCTAGTTGCTAACATGCCATAGCTGCGTTTGCTTTCTAAGAAGTCTATATTTCCAGCGAAGTGATGGCGGCTATGGAAACGCATTTTTGTCTTGAAGTTGTGTCGTCCCGCCGGTAGAGATCCACTGTGGCCAGCGGACCGATAGACGCAAGGCTTTGTTACTTTGTCTGGTTGGTCGCGCCTCGCGAGTGCTTTGACCTAATGAGAATGTATTATACACCATGGTTTAGGGTTAGGGCCTGCGCACTATTTGATTGACTGATAGCGCAAACTGCAGCTGACTAACCTACGCGGCCTCCATTTCTCGCTGAAATCGACCATTTGCAGAAATCTACAAAATGTTTTTTCTGAAAAGTCGTTTTCCAACCAAATGGTCTTGTTCACAAACTGATCTTTTCACTGTGTTTTAGCATTTCCCCCACTCCCTTTTTACGAATGACAGGTGCCTCGCCTACCATGCGATCTGACGGTTCGTTCGGGGTAGGACACCCAGTAATTGTTTCAGGGGGGGGGCTTTGATTTGTGGGGTTCAACGTCTAGAGGGGGGGGTGGTTCTTTTGTTGCGTGCCTTCACTGGAATAGGAGTGGTAAAAGCAGAGTGAGCGAGAAAATTAATACGGGCACGAGAGTTTTTCTTCTTTTCCTTTTGGTTGGAAAACAACCTTGCAGGAAAGCTCCATGCAGATTTCTGCAAATGGTCAATTAGCGCAACTGAGAAAATTTTGAAGCAAGTCGACCATTTTAGCACAATCCCAGCAAATTGCATGGTTTTAGCACAGCTCGGCGCGAAGACGGGGAATGGTATCAAACTGGCACAGCTGTTGCACTCCTGTTTATGTAGCAGCATGATTTATATAGGGCTACCATCCTCGCAAGCACGGGCGCTACATATCAGCTTACAGCTTATGCTATTGCCCACGTTGTTGTTGGCATCATTACACAACTGTAAACAACTGGTGAAATAAAACATATGCAACTGTTCAACATGTATGTGCATACATTTGTATGTACATATCTTTAGTGTCATTCCATAAAATCTCGCTTAATAAAAAATTACAACACAGTCAGTTTCCCTTTGCATGCTTGGCATAACATCGATTCCCAAGGTATGTAGGATCTCCCAAGCTTTTACTTTTTCTTTGTTTGGGGGGGGGGGGGGTCAAGAAAAATGGAAGATAATAATCAAGAATGATTGTTTTACACCTCTTTAGTACTCATGTTATGTTTTCCAAGATTTGGATACAGTGACACACAGTGACGCACGTCTCCAACCTACCTAGAAGTGTGTAACAACAATTCTGAGGCAACTGCAGGAGATTTTCCACTTCTCATCTGTCGTATAAACATTTGCAAATTCTTCGTGGCAATTCCAAATATGATAAGTACAGTCTCTTCTAACTTTTAACTTATTGTTTTATTGCTGAGGCCTGGAAGTATCTTCATGCAAGAGCAAAAAATAAAATAAGGAAGCAGTGTACCACAAAACAAGAATAATATTGTTAGAAATTTATTGAGATGCTGATGCTTGAACACTTTACCAATAACTTTGGCACACTTAAATTAAGAATTTTTCCAAACAGCCTGAAATACTTGTTGCTCTTCAAGTGAGCATTCCTGCAGGATGGCCTGAATTTCTTGTGGGTAGCTCAAACTCAGGGACTTGACTAAATGAAGCAGGTTAACTCTTGTTTCTGTGAATCAGAAAAAAAAATTAAAATCACACTAGTGTACACTCACAGAACAACAACAAAAAGCCTATCTGTTGGTTCAATCTAAAAGCACAACACTGACCATAAGCTAAGTTTAGTATTGTGGTCAGTGTTTTTATCTTGAGCTCAAACAATATATGAGGACGACAATATTAACTTGATGCAACATGGGAGGCGATTTCTGCTGCACAAAAGGAACAGCACCTGGCAACTATCGACAGCCTAATGACGATAGCATGATGTGAAGTACTACAAGTGGCATCGCAAGCAGTGAAACTTGACAGCACATAAAAAAAGTGATGTAAACCACTAGCACAGCTACCATCTGTCATTGTCCAATAGAAGGATTAACTTGAGTTATTTTAGTACCCGAAATGCAATGTACACTGTATCTTTTGACAACCTCTAACCCTTTACTTATGTTCTGCACACAAAGTTGATACTGTGACAGTGATGAGTGTGTGAACCTGCCAAGTGTATGCTTATACTTCCTTGGAATATGCATTCCCTACGTACTACGTAGAAGCAGTAAAAAAAATGAAGTGAAAGGCTATGCAATGTATGAATAATCTTATTAGAGATAAGGTGATGAGCACATGTCAGTTCTTTCAGTACGGACAATTTGAAGAGGGAGGAAAAACCTCAGAGAAGCAACTTTAGTGCAAAGCGTTCTCTATAAGCAGAAAAAAGTGCAGAATCCACAGCATGGCCAGAGACTGCACTGCAACACTTAGTATGTCTTAGTTAGTCACTATTGTTTTATTATGCTTTGCTTGTGAGTTGCGAGTTCTAGCTTTATTATAAAGCCCTTAATTTTGATGAAAACGTACTTGTATGTGGTGCACTCCGAAAGAATATGCCATTTAGAGTTCATCAATGCCAGCCCGCCATTAATCACAAGTTCTCCGTTTATTTAGCACTCTGAGTTGCCTATACTCTACTGCTATGGACGCTATAGTATACTAGAAAGTACTTGGCATAAAGCATTGAAAATAAAATAGAAAACTGCACTCGAAATTAACAATTAGTGCTTAGGGAAAGGTTAATTTTTGAATTCCCTGAATGTGAGGCGAAAAAATCAGCACAGTAGAAAATGCTACTGCGATCATTATCCTTTAAAAACCATTAAATTGCATCTCACTAGGCCCCATTATTGCACACTAAAAGTTGTGAGGTCCATCCAAAAAGCATTCTGCTTAAATAATTTTTCAAATCTGCTTATTATTCAAATAATTTGAAGACACTGATTGTATTGTTACCACGTAGCCAGAAGGCAAAATCTACAATCAACATAGACTCTCTCTTTTTGCCTCAGCTACTCTTAACTCGGGGGTTTTTTTCCGTACATGTATGGGGGTAGTTTTCAGTCTCACAAGGTCTTTGCTGTACGGGTACCTTTTCATCCTTCCGTTTGAAACTTCACACTGTACTGAAGATGCATGCTCTCTGGGAGCTGCCGCTGCCTCCTAGGTCTTGGAAGAAACATTTGAAATGATTGTACTACGTTCATGAGAAGATAAACAGAACTGATTTTTAGGTTCAGCGCGTTGCATGGTCAGTGGCAATGCTAAAGGGCAATGCCCTTCCATGGTTTCGGTACGGTTGCGTGATTGCTACGGAAGCATGCAAAACTTTTTCCACCTTTAAAAGTACTTCCTAGCAGAGGCGGTGGAAGTTGATTTCCATTTTTACTAGCATTTCCCTTAGTTTGTTTATTACAGACGCTCACCCTCCTGGCTTACAGAGTTTACTCTAAGCAAGACTACCGCACGAAAAGAAAATGCCGTGTGCGCCGACATAACTCAACACTCCAAGAGGAGAAAGTACACGAACTGTGATAAGGCACAGTTTGTAGACCCTTGCTTTAAGGAATACCAAGCTCTGAAATACTACTGAACATTTCACCGATAAGAGAGATGTTGATGCCAAATTACTGTTCCTGATTTTTAAGAATTTTTTCCAGACTTTATAGATTTCATACATTTAAAATTCACAATAACATATAACCTGACAACCTGGGAAAGTAGAAAAAAAAAGATCATCAAAGGGTTAATAAACAGTGGGCCTTCTCTGCATTCTACCTTTGCTGTGACAAGCCCTAGAGGATTTGAATGCTAGGGAATTTCGAAGGACATGGTTATAACTCATATGCAACTTTTGTAATTTTTACATATATCTTTCTTTACAAGATTAACTATTTTACTGCTTTGATGATGTACTAGGATGCGGGAACATTTCTGAAAGACGACTACTTTCAACTACAATGGCTGGCATCGCAATTAGGCGCCGTTAGTTGTTGTTGCTGCCTAGATCATGCGTGATCATTGTCCGATTTCAGTGACCAAAATGCGTTCTTGTGACAAAATGGTGACAACACAAATTAGCTACCACTGCCTCATCTCTGCAGCTGGATGTCACTTGTGAACCTACTCCCCAACATACTGTTGGCCATGTAAGTTATCAAATGGCTCTTGGCTTGACTTCATTTATGTCAAGCAGTTGTGTAAAACGGCTCTGAGTATATTTTTAAAAGAGTTTTTTAGTGATTAAAAATATTTCTAAGGACTCATTTGACAAGCGAATTCCAATAGATTTTTATTACTCCCGAAATCACGGCTGAAAAAGGCTGCGATTGTGGTCGTCATATAAAAATGAAATTTGTTTCCATGTGACACAAGGCAGGTGAAATAGCATTAAGTGCATGTAATGTAATTTGTTGTAAATCATGTGAGATTTTCCGTGAGACAGGGATTTTAGTATACTACATTTTGAATAACTTTAGGGTCATTTCACAGGTCAATCTACACTTAGACAGCAGTTAAAACGCCTCAGCCAAATGCAGACAGAAAAGTCGAAAGAAATGAACAAAAATTCACAGGACAGAAAGGCCCTAGACTAAGCCCTAAGGAAAGACAGAGATTACTTTTCTGGCATACGCGCAATCAGTGCCTGCAGCCATGCACAGTGACCGTCCATCACTAGTTAGTCAAGCAAGCAGGAGTCAATGAGCAAAAGCCCTAAACCCGAGGCAGAGGAAAATCTATTGTTATAATGCTAAATGTTGACAAAGTGACTTCTGTCTGATTAATTTTTTAAGATAAGTAATTCAGAGTTTAACTGAAATCAAGACTTGACTGCCTTATGGTCTGAGTGCTTTCTGCTGAAATTTTAAGTTTGCTTCCACCTGGAGTTTTGGGGGCAAAGATCACGAGTCCTTCTTAGGAAAAGGGTATGGTAAAGAGTAGTGGCCTCGCTAGCACGCGCTCGCACACTCCAATCATAGCATTTATGGGTGAAAACTGTTCCTGGTAAAGAATGCAGGAGCATTTTTTTTTACACAGATTGAATTTCTTCATTGTTTTTTAGTGGAAACTTCAACCAGTGTGGTGTGAAGATTATTTTGATATTACTGGTTACACTAAAATTTAAATTTTTCATGTTTACTTTAGCTGGTTGATTTACAGAAGTCATCACAGAGTAGCATTCTTGAACAAAAAAATGTTGAGTGGTAACATCACTAATGCCTTCTATGACTGTAAGGAAATGAACATGCTTTATCATGAATACATTAATTACCCCTACATAAGAAACAGTGACATAGAGCATAATAATCAGCAGAGTTTAGTACGAGCCAGGGTTGCCATTGACTTTCAAGTAAAATTCGCTAAACCAGACGTAAAAAGTCTCCAAAAGTCGCCGCTTTTCTTCAAATTTCGCCGAAAAAGTCGCCACTCTACATTTTGTGTGGTGTGCCTATACTGATAAAAATTGCTAATTGTATATAGCCTCGTGGAGTACTGTGTTAACCTTAACCCCTAGATTACACTGACGTTTTTTAATGCCAGTCACATCACCAGCTTCATCATGGGAGCACTTAGAAAGAGCATGCATCCACCAGCAGCGTCCCTGAATGCTAGCGCCTCATAACAAAAATTTTGAATGGTTTTAGCTGTAGCGAGTAAAAGATGAGGCAGTCGCTTGAACAAGAGAGAGATGGTGTAGGTAGCCTTCGTGCAGATTCAGAGAATTCATTTCACTAAAATCATGTGCCTGACAATCGAACAATTTCATTACAAAACGATTGAAATAAATTAAACCATAATGCAGTGCAGTGAAAAAAAAAAACAGACAACAAACGAGCGAGAGACCGAGGACACTTGCTCGTTTGGTGTCTCTTTTTTGTGCTGCACTATACACTATGATTGACTTGTTCCAACTCCCCCAACAAGAATAGTTGCTAAGAAATAAATTCGAATGTAGTGCATAACAATCGCAATGCTCATACCCCAATTTCTGTGCAATCATGCTTACGCTACGCATTCACCTCATTGCTGTTTCTGAAGGGTGCCCAAAGAATCTGGCTGCTCAACTGGCCCCAAAAGTATGTTAATAACAAATTTAAACTCTGCCCAGCAAATTAGGAAGTACTCCAGCAGTGAAGAATTAGACAAGCTATTCAGGACAGTTGATTGATATGTGGGGTTTAACGTCCCAAAACCACTATATGATTATGAGAGACGCCGTAGTGGAGGGCTACGGAAATTTAGACCACCTGGGGTTCTTTAACGTTATTCAGGACAGTTAGAGCTGTGGTCGGAACATGTGAAGTAACAGTCACCTAGCAACTTCAAAAGCTCATAAAGCACCTCAAGAAGTTAAACTAACACTACCATCTTGCGGCATGCGAAACAGTTCGCTGACATACATTTTGCTGAAATTTTAGTAGGAGACGCACCAGCACCTTCAGACTCCTGATTAATTTAGAAGCAGGACTGGCGTACTAAGTGCACACAAAGTGTGCCTTTTACTGACCAGTCCAAAACTAAGAAAAACAAAAAAATTAGGCTTATTCTTTAGAAAGACACTGAGCATAGAACGCAAAACCCATTCGAGACCTAAGCTAAAAATCGCCAAAAATTCGCCATGTTGCCATTCATATATTTTAGGCCGCAACAGGCCTCTTAGCTTCACCAATTTGGCGAAAAGTAGCCACCAGTGACAACCCTGGTGCTAGCTGTGGCGCTACATTTTGTGCGATAAAAATTGGGACAGTCCTGTAAATAAAATAATAGTTAAAGATGAACTAACCAATAGTGATTTGGTCAGTTTGGATGACCTTCAGGACGATGCGAAGAATGGCAGGGAGATTTTTCATGAACTGCAACAAACAAAATTAAATATGAAAACATGAGAAAGAGTGTGTGTGAATACAGGGCACCTCAGCTATCTGTAGCCAGAGTTTAAATATATGTCGATGCACTCTACGATGACATGACCAATTGCATGTTGCAAACTACTCTGTGGAGCAAGTCACACTATTTTTTGTGTTATGCTTAATTAGGCATGTTAATGGAATTTTGAAGCAATGAGGCTGGAAAAAAAAGTTAGTGGGAAAGTTGTAGTTCAACTTACAAGACATTAAACTAGACAGTTTCCAACTTATATCAAGCCTGTGAAATACCAAAAATACTATACGACATGCCCACTTGTACACCTCTGAGTGTCATGATTGCAGTGTTTTTGATGTTCCACTTGCTAACATGCTTTTCTAGCGGCTGTTTACAAGTATTCAATTACCAGTAGTCTATTACATTTTCTCTTAATTCTGTAATATAATAGATTACCTTTTCACAACCTTAATATTCTACATAGTTCAAATAAATCTTGTAATTTTTTACCACTAATTAATTACAATTCTGTCATAAAATCAAGCTTTACTTAGTCTTCTCCGGCAGATGCAGTTTAAAAAAATTTGCCACTGCTCTGTAATGAAGCCCTTACCTGTTAGAATAGCGGGACAGTGTGTCTCTACAGAGCCTATTTTTTCACCTTTTTTTTTTTCACTTTACTTGCAATACCTTAACCCAGCTCCAGCAAGAGCGAAGCGTGGTGCTTCACAGACGACATGAAGACTAGCATCAAAGCGCTGTGCCACTACAAGCTGGTTCGAAAAGTGTTCCGACATTATAATACCACCTTCTCTCCAGCGCATGCTTTGAGAGCAACTGACCTCTTAACCAGAACACATAGAAGAATCAGTAACATCTTTGAAAAACAGCTCTTGTTGACAGGTATCAACTTCTGACACTACATCACAAAAACCACATTAGGCCTCCCAGTCTCCCCAAAAGCCTCCAGCCTTTTTTCTACCACCAAGCCACAGTAGCTTGTCGTGATTTGAGTAAACCTGTGTTACTGTGTTACAGCAATAACACTAGTGCAAAAAATTTTATTGTGCCACGACAATGAAGTTTTGAAGGAAAGTAATGCACAAGTAATTGATTACATTACTGTAATTATACAGTTATATTTACAGGGCTGTAACTGACTACTGCAACCAATTAAATTTTAATGAAGTAATTGTCATCGGTTACTTATTTTCTGTAATGTGTACAAGTCTATGGCTGTTCATCTCAACAAGAAGAAGATGCTGTGATTATCGCCTGTGTTGCCATTAGCAAAATATGCGTCAATGCTAGGCCACCACTATTGTCGCTACACCACACCTGACCAAACACTAGAGTTATATTCATGCAGAACGCTGAAGAGCACAGCAATCATGGTGAATATAGGCGCGCAAGTGGGCATTTCATGTGGTATTTTTCGTATTTCGTAGGTCTCTGTGGTAAGCACAAAAACAGTAATACTTATTAGATAGAAAGCTGCACACGGTCTAGTTGGATGTTTAGCAAATTAATTTACAACTTTCTCACTGGACTTTCTTGCACAGCTTTATTGCTTCAAGACTTGGTTAAATAAACATGCTTGATTAGGCAATAAAGCAAAACGCAAAAAATAGCGTCACACACTTCATGCAGTAGTCAGCAAAATGCAATTCATCGTGTCATCATGAAGTGCATTAGAATACTTTAGCTGAAGATAGCTGGGGCACCCTCTATTTACACAATCATTCGTATGTACATACATACACATATATACATATAACGTGTCTCATGAAATATTTGCTCACTGCCTTCTTGATTATGTTTTCTTTAGCAGCAGACATCAATTACATAACAGAGAAACAAATTAAATTAGGTAACTTTTAATTTAAAAAAATGTGATTGGGTCTAATGAAAGAATCCAAGTCGTACCCTGAAGAAGCCCACTGTTGCTTGGATATTTCCAAAGAGTGGCCTATGGTGAAAAAATTTGGCCAAACTCATGGCCAATACCATAACCAGAGCACAGATGAGCACAACTAGCAGACAAACAGAATGTCACTGTTAGCGACAATGGTTTCAGTATTGTCAGTTGTTTTTTTATTCGCTAACATATGTACACCATGTGTGCTTTAATGCAAGCACAGCTCACACACCAATGAAGAAGTCAATCGAGGATTTATGCAATGACTCTCATTCATTCCAGATACACTCAAACCACATTATAACAAAGTTGTGTCTTACAAAAAAATAAGTTTGTGATATTCGAAAATTTGTTATACAGGGTATTTTGTTATATTGAGAATTGAGTGTATTATGAAGCAGCATGGCAATTGTTCTATTCTGTGTTTCAGTTCTGCCTATGAAATTAGTCAAGATTTTATCACTTTGCTAAAATTATTAGCATCTGCTTTTTGGCAATCTCATAGTCTTTTCGCAGGAAAGGCATCAATTCTTACACTTGAACTGACTGCCTGAATCCACTATTGAAAATCAATACTATAATTGATGAGTCTGGTTATTACTTTAGGTGTCTGCTTACAATGTGTTCAACACTTAGGAGGTCTGCCACCACAATAGTGATTACGAAAACAGTGAGCAAATATTACATGCCCCTTGTTTTTTGGCGTTTTCAAACATTTTTTTCTTGAAACACCCTATATGTAAGCCAGGCCACCTTGACCTGAATGTTTACCACTATGGCACATCAAAATAAGAAAAACAAAAGAGGCTCTCAGTTCTAAGTAAATTACTGTGCAACTGTAGGAAGTTAGATTACGTAAATCTCTACAACTGTAAAAACCACACATGGAAGAACGTGGCACATGTAGAAAGAGAGCTATAAAAACCACACATGGAAGAATGTGAGACATGTGGAAAGAGAAGTTCATCTACCACAGAATAAGTTGCTAACGTGCACTGCTATGTGACATGAAAGCACAGCCTGCTTTTAAAAAAAGTTGTTGGGGAAAATGTGCATGTTAGTATGGGTTCAGGGGTGGAAGCGGGCTTCAGTCTTTTGGAGCACCTTTGGGAGCAGGAATAACACGGTTTTGGAGCAGCTTTGGAGCAGTAAAAGGGGCATTTTGGAGCAATTCTCGAGCACCAAAAGGTGTGTTTTCGAGCATCAAAATTTAGTTTTGGAGCATATTTTTCGGTTCACACATCCCCGTCAATTAGAATTTTCATTTTTTTTTGCTTTCTCATCAACACAAAAAAATTCAATGGTTTTCACTAACCATTTCATGCTGACCAAATGACCAGACTTATTCCAAATTAATATTTATATATATATATATACTAAACCTTACAACAGTAAAGTTGAAAGCACAGCAACTCAAGACTAGAGACGAACTAATACCTTAAAAGTTATCTTCATGCTAAACCGATAGGGCTCTATACAAATGTAAAAAACTTTTGTTCCAGTCATTGAAGTGCTACAGGCCACGTGACAACCAGACAGAATTTGGATGGGCTCGCCACGCCACTGTTAAGCAATTAAGTGATTTTCCTTTTTTTATTAGGATAGGAACTACATGGGCACTCGACGGGTTTTCACCATAGCCCCAATGTTCCGTGTAAACTACAAGTTGGTAACATTCCCCGCTAATCGTACGTTTTACCCGCGCGTAAAATTGTGCAAGTTGGGGTGGTGAGCGCTGCGCAAGCGGAGATTAAACGAGGCAGCCGATCTCCGTTGTTTGGAAGCGACAGCGGCGCACGCAATATTATCTCACCACGTGTTAGACCAGCCATCGAATGTTCAAGCAGAGAGCAAACACGCCACCTGTCTTGAACGAGCATGAAAAAATACGCGGAGGAAAGGGGGGGGGTCACTTGAGCAGCAGCGGTGAATTTTGATTCTAAGGGGTGGTTGTGATAAGCTGGCACGCACGCTATTGGCAAGCATCAGCGCGCGGTTCGTAAACGTAAACCGTTCTACGTGGTGCGCTCACAACGGAAATAGATTGTGCGATAAGAGCATTTTTTTCCCTGGAGCGGCCGTACGTCCTTTCTTACACCAGCGTTTTGCAGAGTGTCGCGATGTTCGATTCTAATCCCCGTATTCACAAACGCTCCTCGACTTGACTTTCACCCTACACTCGACAGAGTTGAGCACTGCGCCACAGCTCGGCTCAAAAAATGACGCTGCACTACATGAAGGGACATTCTAGAATACGGGGGTAAAGCGTTAGCTTTCAACCTTCGTATTGTCACGGGGTCGTGAGGTTGACGAAGGCAGCAGCCGCTGTTTTCTTGAGTGAACCTTATTTGGGCAAACCTGTGCTCGGAAAACGAAACGCCACTCTACAAGCAGTAAAAGCTGTAGGCTGATAGCTGCAAACCAGAGCATCGGCCATCGATAATCTGCCCAGCAGCAAAGTGCGTCGGCATTTATACGTGTGTCATCGAAGATTCCCGCGTTATCCCTAGCAGTTGCGTAAGTTCCAGAACAAACTCTACTGTACACGTTGTGCACTTAATATCATCGGAAGCTTCTAAGATTATCTAGATTGTTCCCAGTCATTAAAGAGCTGATTGTGCAAGGCAGCATTACGCACGTAATGGTGCAGTAGCAAAAATAAAAAGTGCGTGCGGTATTACAATTACAAATTCTTGCTATTGCCGTCATCTCTCCCCCGGTGAAACTGATTTTTATTTTTTAGTTTATATATGTTTGGCTAACAGCTTTCCTCTTAAAACATATATAGAGTCGCATAATGAGATATGCACACAAACACCACCTTAACAAGATTTATGCATGAACCGAGATACGACGTCACCGAACTAATTTGATATGGACGTGGTTGCGCCTTTTCGGTAGCCCACGCGTGTTGCTCGGTTGATGATAAAACTTGGCTAAATTTGGCGATACACGTTGGGTTGCCAACAGTGCAGTTCCAGCAGCTGCCTTCCTGTATCAAAACCAGACTGGCATACTATGCATGCTTTCAAAACACATGTATTGCCATTAAAAGAAAACTTATTTCAACTAACGTGAAAGAAACAGCGTTCTCTGCACTGACACCCCTGTTGCTTCACAAAAGTATTACAAGGTGCCTCGAGATGGCCAGTTAGGTCGGTGGCTCTCAAATTGAGTTTGTGAAAACATCGTGCACAATTGTTTGTTAACATAGAGAGTACTGCATTTTTTTAAAGTCAGTGCAATATTGGCATATCATGTGATGAAAGTCTGAAGCACAAAGTATGAGCTGCTAGTCACTTGTGCACACAATCATCCTCAGTGAGTCACAAAAAAGTCATTAGAGAAATGCCACTTCATCCAGTTGTGCTTAAAGAACTGGCTAGTTACCTCTCATTGTGTCCCTTAAGTATACAGTGTGTCCCAGCTAACTTCAGCCAAGCTAACAATGGGGAGAGGAGGGGGGGGGGGAAGCCCTTTCTTATCAGGTCAAAAGGGGGGCAAGCGAAGCTTGGGGTGCCTGACATACATCGTATATTTTTTTTTATCCCATTGCACAAAACTCTCTTCTAACTGTTTCCTTCCTCCAAGTGAAAATTCCTCCTAGTGCTTAGCAGTGCAACACTTCCGTTGCTACCAGCAACGATGGGCCATCTGTTCATATCCTGGCAACAATGAAGCATGGCAATGAGAAATGACAAGTCAATTTGATGAAAAATCTGACTGTAATATAAGAGATGACCAATTGCTGACAAGTCCACAATCGAAACATCTTCAATTATTAGAAAATAGCACACAGAAATATGCATGTGATCGGCATTTCTGTACGCTCGCTGGCGTCGGGTTTTTCGTGGATGCTGAAATCTTCTGAGTTATAAAAGCTGTGTGTAAAAATATGCAATAAGACATGAAGATAACACCAACGGTGCTGTGTTACTGGTCACCTTATACATACTCTTAATTTTTTTTTATGGTAGCAATGCATTTTAGCCCATGGTTTATGAACCATAAGGTTTCCTGTGCAGCTGCACAATGTAATCAATGTACTGACAGCAAAAAAATTGAAAATGCACCTACCACCTCATGTCCGATTCCGCAGAGATAGCAGATGCAATGGAAAACACTATCATTTTCTTCGAAGTCTTCCTGCAAAGGAAGCTGCTGAAGCAGCACTGGAAAAATCTGTAAAAAGAAAACAACTTATAAGTAGTACACGCTTTCTGCAATGCAGTTTCTTTATTGATGCTTTATAAGAGGGATCACAGTGCAAGACATCCATTTGCACTTTCAAATAACTGTATTTCTGAATTCTCTACATATGAATAGTGCAGAAGCAAGTTTTATCGCAGGCCTTAAAACTCAGTATCAGCCCTTATATAACACAAACTTTTCTGTTTTTGTCCAAGTCATGGATCAAAAGTGTGCTCGAAAAATGAAGAACAATGATGATGATGGCATATGGTGGTTAGTGGTTCAAAAGCCAGTGAGGGTTAAACAGCGCCAAGACAACAGTTATGAGAGTGATAAATAATAATGTAAGATGGTTGTAGAAGGGCCTAAAAGCCTGTTCATTAAAAGTGCATGAAACTCATATAAATAATAAAACCCCGATAGTCAAGCGAAACGTGCTGAATGAGTTAAAACAGTGCCACGGCTGAAATATACACTAAAAAGGCCTGTCAAGCACACTGTGCTCCACAAACACTAAGTAATCACCAACATACCTAATATGTAATTATTTAAACATGTGACAGGGCTATAGTAAATATCTTAAAAGTGTTCAAGGAATGCAGCGGGGACCTAGAGTTTACATGCAAATCGCCAAGAGATGGTCAACTTTAGTTCTTAGACTTGTTATCATGTTCTTAGACTTCAGTTCAGTTCTTAGACTTGTTATCACTTCTCGCGCAGCCCCGAAGCTCCGCCCACCGGCCGGAACGCTGCCGCAAATGCGTTCGTTTTTCCTTCTCCGGCAGCCAGCAGGCTGCCTGCGGACTCGCTTTCCTGCCGGAATGATTTTGCGCTGGCAGCGAAATGACGCGCCTTTGCGTGTTTTTTTTTTCTTCGTCACATCGTCTCTGCATAAGTTTTGCGCACGGTTTGACGACCTTTTTAGATTTGCTGTTTTCACATTTGTTAGACGTGCATTTCAGTATTAGCCTTACCAAGTTTAGGATGGTGTCTCCTAACACCACGAACTATTTTTGCTAAAGATCAGAAACAGATCTAAGTGTGCCCTGTCTGTAAGGCTGGAGGCTTTGTGCTGTTCAATCGTAGCCCCAGGTATGTGAACAAAGGTAAGACATTTTATTTCCATGCGAGTAACTTTCCTGTTGTCTAGGTTTAATTCTTGTCCTCTCGCTATAATGAGACCTGCTTTAGTTATAGCTCTATTCCAAATATAGTGGTTGGTGTATGTGAATGTGACAGTTGTCAACGTTGAGTCCCTGATATGACGTATCGAGTGCTGACTTTCACCCCTTGGCGTTGCTACAGCACACGAAATACACGCTTGTTTCGTTATTGTTCGGCCTCTTGATGTCTCTCACTTTGATAGCCAAGAGCACGACGCATTGCGAAGTGCCCACTCGGCTCCACTAACATCGAATTTGTCCGCAATTCAATGCATTGTAGTTTGAGTGGCAAGATTGCTAGCTTACTTCGATCAGCACCGCCCTCTCAACTGACACGTTATTTCGTCCGGTGCGAGCATTGCTGATAAAAAGCATACCTCTCAATTTCATCTGCAAGATCCACAGATGTGCTTTTAGACAGTCAAAACGTTGTTCCAAACTACAAGTCTACATACGTTGGCACAACCCGCTCGATGTATAACGGAACACGGGGCCGTTCCTGCCTAATTACCAGGGCCAACTACAAGATGATAGTGTGACGCTCTCCACCATCCTCTTCAATCGCGTCGTAAGCATGCAGCATCACAACGGTCTCGTCCGCCGAAGCTTCTGTGTTTACAGGCTGATGATGTAGCAGACGACACAGCAAACACAGCTGCGCTTGCGTGACGACGATGATACAGCGGGGGCAGCCTTGGGCTACCCGACGCTTGCCCGAAAATATTGCCTCTCATCTAGCTGACGCATAGTTGATGTCATTTTGATGCGGTAGTGCGCCACAGTTCTGTGTGCTGACGTGGTCGAGAGCTGCACACGCTAGGTAGCAATAGTTGCACCTGACAGCTTGTTGTTTTTGGAGCTTTCTCAAACCTAACCTGGTAAATAATGAGGGGCCTGTAATTAATTGTTATGCACTGCAGCAAACGATGTGCCATGTTATGTCTAACAGGCCCCCAGAAACAAACACATCAACACCCACACACAAAAACAAAAAAACGCGAGGCCAAATTTTACTGCAACTTATGTACATATATTTATGTAACATCTGGTACATGTATTTATGTACCATCTCATTATGCATTCTGTCGCCACCATTACCACAGCCTGATGTAACTGGGGGGGGTGAAAACTCAGTCAAGCGGCTAATTGCATTTTTTTTTTCTCATCTTCTGTGTCAATACTGTATGAGATTCCTGACGAGAGCAGAATTTTGGCCTAGTTAATAATTGAGCCCGCAGGCAGTATGCGCAGTCAGTACGACTGTCCAATGAAAAAACCATGGATAACGAAGAACACACATGCAGCATGCTGGGTATGCCTACTTTGTAGTTCACATTTTTTTTTTTTTCATTGCACAGTTGCACTGAAGACACCAATGAAGAAAAAAGTGGTTTATGCACTAAAAACATTGCAGGGTTAAATGAGATATTCTCACATTATGCTTTAAAAAACAGCTTTTTGCTTGGCAGCCCTATCTCTCAACACTGAAGTAGAATGTGAAGCACTGTGAGTGCCTTCCCCCTTCTACCACAGGTCAGAGGTTCATTCACACAAACCTGTTAGTGTATGCCAGAAGTGTGTTGTATTCTCAGTCTTGAGAAAAGGACATTACTTAAGCTTAATTTAGTAGTGGGTTGCTAGTTACCTATTATTGGCTTGATTAAAACAACTTGTGAGTGTGGGCACCCCACAAGTTCTGCAAGTAAAGTCTTAGCCTTCTTACGTAAATGTCCATTGCAGGGAGCCCTGCCACGGTAGTCCAGTGGCTAAGGTACTCGGCTGCTGACCCGCAGGTTGCGGGATCGAATCCCGGCTGCGGCGGCTGCATTTTCAATGGAGGCGAAAATGCTGTAGGCCCATGTTCTCAGATTTGGGTGCATGTTAAAGAACTCGAGGTGGTCTAAATTTCTGGAATCCTCCACTATGGTGTCTCTCATAATCATATGGTGGTTTTAGTATGTTAAACTCCACATATAAATCAATTGCGGGGACAGCTATGGGTGAGTTGGCAATGTCGCTCCAGGTAGATTTTGCCTACTGGTCAGCCAGTACTTTGCCTACCATGTGTCTGTACCCTGGCAGCAAGCATATGATGATCTACTGTTTTTAGATGCAAGTGGTACACAAAATGGAAAGCAGAGTCCAGCATCTTCAAAGCACTTGGCCCCACCCTGTAAACTAGGCATTCACATTCGAGGCTTTGATGAAAATTTATCAGGAAATTTCTGTGACTACACCAACAAAAGTGCCAAAATACCTTTAAAATGTTCACTGTTTTAATGCCCTTGTTTCTGAGATTTGACGTGTGATACAAAGGAAGCTTTGCATCCAGAATCAGGCTATGGAATTTTCTAGGCTACTAAGGTTTCCCTTGCTTCAAATAAACAAACTAATAACGAAACAAAGAGACAGACTAAAGCCATATTAAATCTTATAGTACATTCGAAAGGTCATTTTAGAGTACACCAGACTGCTCCGACGGTGTGCGTCGCATTCCACTGGTTCTTTCAGAGCACCACACTTCCGACTTTCAAAGCACACTTATGTGCTCTCACTTTGATTTTAGAGCACTACTTAGATCTGTTCACATGATTACTACACTTTGTCTGTTTACAACGGAAGATGCGGTAACATGCATCCTCTTCCGGCTACTGACTGCTCTGGCAAATGATTGCATGTTCAGCTTGCACACGCATATTTTGGCTCGAATCAAAAGCAGGCACCACATTATTGCAATCTCAGTCAGAGCACAGCGGTACCCAACTATATGTACCATTAAAATCACTGAAAGAAGAAAGAAAGGCAGGTCTTTTTTTACAAAAAAATAGTACTTTTTAAAGAATGGGATACCTTTGTAAAATATTTTTGCCTTGATCAGAGAAGACAGTAGAAGAAAAAGCTTTCATTCAAACACTTACCTGTTCAACAGGCACAACAGTAACACCAACCAAGAGGAGCTTAGCAACAGCACCACATATATTGTCTTTGGCATGCCTGTTGTCTTCACGTGCTAGCATTGTGGAGAGAGCTTCCAGTAATGCCGGATACTCACTAATCCTTGAGTTCAGGAAATATGTATTAAAACTGTACAGTGATCAAACTTCTGCACAAGATGTGCAAGCTATTTCAAAATAATGCTTTGGACCACCATAAAATTATTGTTATCAGTCTATCTAAGAGCTTAACTATACTACTGCTTTGGACCACCATTACATTATTATTATCAGTCTATCCAAGAGCTCAATCAAACTATTATACATCAAACCACCTGCCACATACCTAGTACATTTATTCTTAAGTAGCTATGTCTGTTCTGACACAGAAGATGTAAGCACATGCACATTAAATCACTTAACACACCAGCCACAGTGACTTCTAGATCATCACATTTTAAATGTGACAAACTATTTTGTTTTTGAGGTGAGACATGTGCTTATAATAAAATGTGATCTGTGACAATGAGAAGGAAGTGGTGCTAGTAGTAGTCAGATGTTATTCAGATAACATACAGGTCAAGACCAAAATGTGTAATACGCTTGTCACACAACATACATAATGTCATTTGCAGCAAATGTGATTAAGTGTTAGTGCCATTTGTGTTGCTATTACACAAGTAGAGTGAATGACATTCACACCTAATGCTCTTCACTTGTTAAATGTAGTTTATCAAACTGACCCACTTGTTACATGCATAATCTTGACAATAGGGGCTCAGCAAAATATTACAAAATCGATTATTGATGTAATGAAGGTTCTTCTTATTGGTTGCCTTCTTGATAACTCTTTTTTACATACATCAAGATATTGTAAGCTATTTGTACAGCTATATTCCCAGACCACGACTTGACTCTACCGCCTCCTGTTGGCCGCCATGTTTACAATGCTTGCTGTTAATTAAGTGAAGCGGCGCCGTAGTGGCACTAGGGTTACTAACCGTCCAGACTTTTCACGCATCGTCCCAAGTATCACACCGTCCTTGTCAGGATAACCACATGTCCCGGATTTGTTCCAGACCTCCGGTAAGAAATATTTATGTAATCTAACACACGCCCAACAACGTGCCCCCTGCTAAGTTTCACCAAGTTCGCGCAAATCCCACGCGCAAAAGGATGTTGCGATGGCTAGCAGTGGCTATGAGAGGCTGAAAATTCAGCTAAACTTCTACATGAAGTACGGCTAGTTTTACAAATGCATTATCCCTCAAGGGAAAGTACTGCGAACAGCAAGCACATAGCTAGCTGAAGTACCAACAATAGATTTGTCTGGAAGATACTGAAATAATAAAGTGGCCTTTCCAGCTCCCCAGTCCCGACTTTTTATGTTGAGGAGTTGCTAATCCTAATACCTGTGACACACAAGCAAAAGTAAAGTACTTTGAAGTAAACCCCTTTCATCGCCGAAAGAGACTACTTGAAGAAACGAGTTGTGCCGATGACACACGACACTGTACTGCTTTAGGTGGTTGCCCAAAAGAATGCTGCAGAAAAAAAGGCACTGAATGTGGAATCAGTAAGGTTGGGGGAAAAAAAAACACGCATAGACATCATACTCAAAGATATCGGAGCATAAAATAAGTTTTTTTACTTGCCCGACGGTTCATAATGCGCATACTCATAATTTCCTTTCTCTTTATCAGTTTTTAGTAGCGGCTTTAATTAATCTAGCAGGTATCAACAGTCTGTTCTAGCTGTCCTCGTTTTTTTCATGCTTTTTCACGGCTGTGTCAGTGACGGCGTGCCGCGTTTTGTGATTATAGTGAACTAGAATCGCGATCCTGCAGTGGGTCAGCAGAGAGGCACATTTACACGAGTTTTTTTTAATAGAGCACAGTGACGCACTTTCAGATCGCAAGAGCGAACAAGTGTACACAAGAGAAGACAGTGCAGTGTTGAGACTCACTTTCTTCTATTGATGAATTATGCACACTGTATGTGAGAGTACTCCTTTCTTGCCCAGAAAGTAGATGTGGGATCTGCTTTTCAAAAAGGGATCTTTACCAGACAGGAGTTTCTCCTTTATCATGTCTCTGCGCCCTAATGCCTTTCCAGAAAATGTCCACTTTTCAAAGGCCAGGCGTATTAGTAGCACTAGAAGGAACCGTGGCACTAATAGCAGAGGACATCGACATGGCAATACGCGATATCTCTCAGTCACCATTCTTTCAGTCTACCATACTGTAAACTACAGAGTGGCTTTGTGCTAGTCTTCCTCTGGATATGAGCAAGAAGTTTTTTGACTGATGCTATCTTACTGCATCGCTGTATATTTTTAAATACAGTCGAATCTTATTGATTCAAACACGCTTAATTCGAACTTCCGGTTAATTCGAACTTACGATGAGGTCCCGTCAAAGCTATGTGTATTCCAATGGGCAAACATGCCTGGTAATATGAACGCGCAAACACTTGTGACGGTTAATTCGAACATACCACGCTCTGAAAATGCTCTCAGCACCCCGCCCAATCCGGTGGCGGCAGCTGCGATACCTCGACGCTGTGCACGAAGGAAATGAAAAGGAAAAAAAAGGCTGCGGTGGAATGTTGCTCTCTCTCAAATGCCGATCTGCGACAAGCCCGTGTCACGCTTCTCCCTTTTGCATCCCTGCCACGTAAAGACCCTCCTCCTTCCAATGCCGCGCGCGATGAGAGAGAGGAAAAAAAAAAAGAAAGCTGTCACTGGGTTGAATGAATGTGTGGTTGAAGGAAAGAAAAAAGGCACTATCTTCTGCAGCCCTTGCCCCTTGCGGGAGCACGGCTCTGCGCCTTGAGGGGAGGTCTCTCGCGCGCCCGTGTCACGCCTCCTTCTTTCCCGTCTCTGCCACGTAACCCTTCTTCTTTCAACGATGCATGCGAAAAGAGAAAAAAAAAAAGCTGCCGTGGAGTGTTGGTTTTTTCTCAAGTGCCGGTCTGCTTCTCTCTGTGTGGAGATGCTCCTCCTTTCTCGTCACGTGCTGGCCATGCTCCGCTACGCAGTCGTTGTTGTCGTCGTCTTTAGAAAGTGTCGGCGTAGGACATTCCCGCGCGCAACTTCTCTTGCCAGGAGAATGCTGAAGCCGAAGTAGAAATGCTTTGCAAGCTGCATGCGAAATTGACTCGCTGCAAGGCAAACGTGTGCAGACACGCATCACCGATTACTTTAATTAATAACCAATGTTCTGTGATTTGTGAATAAATGTAAGTCTTCTGAAACTCTCCCCTCGTGTGTTAGCTGAATGCACATGCGCCACTGCATGGAGAGCTCTCCGTTTATTTAGCTTTCATTAATTCGAACTTCTTTTCATTCGAACAAATTCTCAGGCCCCTTCGAGTTCGAATTATCGAGATTCGACTGTAGTTTGACAAGGTTTACCATTGTAGTACTAGCAATAAAGAGAAAATATGTAAATTAAGAGCACAATTCAAACTATTATTGTTGCAGCTAGTGAATAAACGCAGACATTAATTGCAAATGCCATATTGTATTGCCATGTATACCCGAAAGAGAACACAGCAATGACATTCGTAATGAATGCATTCGTTACATGTGCTGATGACATTGGTATAATACCCTGAAGAATATACGACGTTCACTGTCTCGCTACTTCAGGAGGCAGAATCAACAGCCGGGCTTCCAGTGCATGAGGATATTAGGTGTCACTCCCAGTAATGAACTTGCTTTTACAACAAGGTTTGTGAGATCAAACAGTGATTGGCTGTGAACACCAATAGCCATGTCATTCTTAGCATGGCATCCTAGTAAGAATATTCAGTTTACCACACTGCTATGCATAGAAGGCTTTGCTGAGAAAGAGACTTGGTGAATTTTTGAAGCAATGACAAACATCAATAAGCACCACCTTTGACTAAACATGTAGCCCTTGTTAAATCCAAATTTAGTTAATTATTAAGGGTGAAAATGGGCTTATTAAGGAGTCTCTTCAAACAGTGGCATAAGAAACAAAGTACTGTCAAACATGACTACATGAAATCTGGGTATATCAAATTATCCTTTATGTTGAGCTCTTTTCCGAACACAACCATGCTTTAACACCAATGTACACTGCAGTCCACTTATAACGATACCACATATAACGATATATCGGTTATAACGATGGGTCGACTTAACAGTCTCATTTTATGCATTGGGGCTATGGGGAAAAAAACCATATATAACGATATGTTATCCACCGCATATCGGATACAACGATGAAAAGTTTGCCGTGGACGGCATGTTTCATTCAGAATAATCGTAACATTTAGATTGATAAGTTCCTCTGAAGCGAACTATGCCGAGACAAGACGAAAAGTTAGCGTAGGCGAGTACCTGCCGCCACTGCAGCACAGCGCCGGCAGCGCGTCCCGGCCGTTCAAAAAGCCGAGGAGAGCATCGCGAGTTGGCGCAACGCGCTACAGATGGCGCCAGCTGTGTCACGTTTTGCGCCTCACCGCGCGTCGACCGCGGAGAGGCTGAGAGAATTAAAAAAAAAAAAAAAAATGCGAAAAGCAAAGTGCCGCGCTCCGCGGCTCCCCGCCTTCTACAACGGCAAGCTACTCGTAGATAGCCGAACGAACGCGGGAAAGAGAGAGAAAATAAAAAAAGCGAAAAGCAAAGCGGCGCGGCGGCATCGGGGCGGGGCCTCGTTGGCATTCCGGCTGTGTACCCCTGGCTGTGCTTTCTTCCTCCCACTGCTCCCACCCCGCCGTCGGTCAGTCTCTCTTCCTCAGCGAACCCGTGATGCGTTCTTCGGAGTAAGAAATAAAGTCTTGTTTTTGACATCCTACTATCTACAATATTTATTAATTGGTGAAAATAGCGAAATGAAGCCTGGAGCTACAAAAGGTACGTCCGGCGACGATTTTTTGGCGGCAGTCCAGACATAACGATCACCGGTTATAACGATCATATTTTTAGGTTTTCTCGATATCGTTATAAGTGGACTGCACTGTATAGGAAAAGCTATGGCTACATTGAACAAAAATCATTTCAACACTTCATAATGCCCCGTTCATTTTCTCAAGGATAACCACATGTAACCTCACCCGCTACGCTGAGCCAAAGCCCTGCCCAAAGGC